CATCTCGTCTCCAGCCCCCTCCTAAAACAGTAATTGATGCGAACATATTTAAATTTAATCAAACGACGATCTTCCTTAGTTCAACTCTGAGTTTGATGAGCATTTCCTTACAGCTCCGTTAATCAAAAATCCTGAGTGCTTTAGTAGCGATAGTTTTAAAGTGTCCCCCCCCTCCATTACATCCCTCCCTTTTGTACTATTAGCGGATCCATCCACTCATCTAATGTGGACGAGTACCTGGAGTAGGGGCTCATGGCTGGGTCGTAGGCTTTTCCAGCTTTTAGAGCAGTACCCATATATGACGGTTGGATGACCAAAATTGGACGCCTTGGATACCCCAGGCACCTTCAATTGCGGGAAGCATCAGTCAACATAACGAAAAAATCAACAATACCACCAACAACAAAAAAGAAAGAGAGAAAAGGGTGAAAACATTTATAGAGAGTAAATCAAAAGTGAAGTGTTTACCGAGAAAACGATAATCTTCAATGCTTTGCAACAAGTACAATAGAAGACGTTTAAAAGGCCAATACGATATCGCTTGTGACCTCTCTGTAAACGACGACCGTCAATTTATCATTTATAAGCTTCCCAAATGCATCTAGAGTTGAGCACAGGACTACACGACTCAAAATTACGATCTACAAATTACCTGAACTTCCATCTCGGAAACGGTCATCGCGGAAACGATCATCACGGCGATCATCGCGATAACGATCATCACGGCCATCACCACCACGACGCCATCCACCTGTAGATTCACGGTCCTGTTCACGCTCTTCCTGGTCACGACTTGGGGGTGGCGGTTCTCGTTCCTCACGGCGCCTTCCATCATCAGGTGGTGGCCTCTCCCGTTCATCGCGTCTCCACGACCCACCCTCCTCTGTAAAGAAGGGCAACAAGACTAAGCGCAAGTATTACATTCCGACACCAACACCGTCTGGCCCAAATGGTTTGGTGGTGACCCCGCGTGAAAGATCCTTTTTTACTGCGTCGCTCCGAAGATCTCGAAATAAATTCTCCTAACTGTCTAGTACAGGTCTCTTAAGATCCTAGTCCTGAGAATTTGTCATTCAGACAAGAACCTTTGGTCGATATTTTTCTTCATTCTCAATACCTCATCTCTTGAGAACGTATATCAACATCACAGGGGAAAAAACTACTTTTTAGTCAAAAGGTTAATTTCTGCGAGTTAAACCCGTGTGTGTGATTATCCAAAATAAAAGTAATAACTATAAACTTGTCCTTTCGATTAGAGGAGCGTTATGAAATGGTCAAAATGGTGCAACGAACTTTTACAGATGATTATCCTTTTAAAAAGGAGGCAGGAGCTTAAATGATGGGAAGTTTTACGGAACGATTGGAGGGGGAGGTGGAGGGAGGAACGAAAAATTTGGGAGAACACCAGCAAGGAATATCACGCTAGCAGAACGCACCGAACACTACGTTGGTTTTTTCCAACAGAAAAGCTTGTTATTACAATCATTTAAGTGGATGCTAAAAAAAGATATTTCCTAAACAGTCCTGTTCGCAACACTGTTCAAAGTCTTATGTACCCGAATAAAAGCAAACAAACAATCCATAAGAGATAATTCATACCTTTCTCATCTCGGCGAGGCGGTCCCAATCGGTCCCTGTCTCTGTCCCGTTCCAGTCCCCTTGGTGGACCATCCCGTTCACTGTCAGGCCTGCTGGCTCGCTGTTCCCTTTCCTCAATTTCCTTCTCCCTCTCTCGCCGCTTACGCTCCATCTCGTCCAGCTTAGCGACCTTCTCACGGTACTCGCGTTCTTTCTCTTCCTTTTCTTTCCTGGCCTTTTCTTCGGCTTCTTCGCGTTCTATGGCAAAGAAAAAAGAAAGCGTTACGTTCTCTCCTCCCTTTCGACTCTTCAGACAAAGTCAAAAGGGAAGTACTGAGGGACCACGCATAATTCATCGCCGGGGCTGGGGGGTGAAACGGAGGATTTTGGTTGCGCCACCTTACAATTACTGATTCCTACCCCTCTCCGGGGCTCTGTAGTATTCTAATGACCCCCCCCCCCTTATTGGCAGTCAATTTTTATGACCCCCACCCCCCCAAAACTCTGTTTGGGACGACTGACCTTCTACACCGTTCTCCTTGTAAACCACGTGTTCTCCCAAATCCTCCGGACCCACTCCCCCTCACCTCCAGGTCCCGAAGTATGCACTTTACTAAGTTTGCAGTAGAAAATTAGAAGATAAGGAAAACTTTATAATTGTCCTCCAATAAGAATAATTTCTCTTAGAAGAGATAAAACTACTTAACCCAGAGAGATGTGCACAGCACACAGTTCAAATTTTCTGTGTTGAATTGGAATTTGGCGCATTGTGACACGATGACATAGATAAAAATAACAAGTTTTACCTCTCTTTTCTCTTTTCTCCTTTTCCTTTCTTTCTTTCTCTTCTCTTTCAACTCGTCGCTGGACCTTCC